TCCTTGTGTTTTTCACTCCTTTATATTTTTGCGGTGTTTATTTGTCGGTAATATATGGAAATTGCTAGACTCTTGAATTTGGTTTGTGCATTTCTTTGTCTCTAATGCTGTCCTCCTTCTATGGGATTAGTGGTACTGATTGAGGTGCGTTTTTGTACCTTAGGTACCTTTAGAACATCCTTACATTTTTTCCCCATTTATCATAATTTTACTTTCTGAGCTGCTTTGTTGCTGTGACTTTTCTACTTCGCTGGATGTTTATTGGATCATCTTATCTCTGGGATGTGCTGATTTTCTTCATAGGATATAGTCTTATGACACTGGATATTTTATCCCTTTTTTAGACTCCAAATTTTGTTGTTTGGATGTAGGAGTTGTGACGTGCATTTATTATTGCTCTGCTGGTTGCATATAAGCACAAAATAAGCAGCTGTTTTGTCCCAGAATCGCATGGTGAGGTCGAACTTCTGTGCTCTTTTAGTTCATTGCATTAAGCTTATTTCTTTTAGTGGGTATCGTTATCCGATTCATAGAATTATCCCCTTGGTAATTACAAGGAGTACGAAGAAACTCTAATCCGCACTTTTTTTGGAAGGCACTGTTAGAATACATGGCTAGTGAATCTAAGTTTCTAGTTTTTTATTATCAAGGCTAATACCAGTACATTGATCATTGTAAATACATAAAGGAGTTAGGCGAACCCTAATGCGAGTCTGATGTAAATCAGTAAGTTTTCTGCTTTTTTAAACAGTAGGGCTAGCGAAGTCGAGATCAGGAATCGTTCTTACCATGGGTGGGAAGATCAAGGCCTTCCAATTCGCAAAATCTACTTCTCTGACAATGTTGCATTGCCACTGGAGTTTTTGTTACTGTTTTGGGATGAGTTTGAGCAGTTTGATTACCCTAAGTTGAGTCGAGATTTTAAACCCTCTTTGAAAATGCTACTGCTGATAAGGAGGGGTGACGAGGAGGGTAGGTGATGCTGTTGAGTGTTGAATGGCGAAAGCGTTGACAAAGGAGTAACTGGTCCATCGTGCTTGCGCTTAATTTCAACCCATGTCTTAGGATTTAATCTAGGCAAAGCAAACAAAGTAGAGCATTATTGAATGTCCCTCTGAATTAAAATGAAGAATGAATTGGATAGTATAGTAGATTTGTTTGAGAGCTGAGCAATGACGGATTAAGTTCAAGAAAACGAGCATTTATTTGAATTTGCTTTTATTTCCGGTTGCCACCCACATAGGCCCAGCCGGAGGATGAGGGCGGAATGTCAGAGGCGCCAGTGTCATTGGACGGCTCGCAATATATGAATGAGTTCTTTGCGCAGGTCGAGGAAATTCGGAAGTTCATTGAGCGCATCCAGGCTCTGGTAGAGGACGTGAAAAACAAGCATGGAGACATTCTCTCTTCTCCCAACCAGGATGAAAGTGGGTTCTGTTTTTGCTTTTCTGCTCACTTGTCACAGTCTTTAAATTAGTTAAAGCTCTCTGGAGAGACTGGTGCACCAATTCTTTTAAGTTACCACGGAACGTCTCCTTGTAATTTGTTTCTACAGTCATTGTTTCAACCCTTATCTTGACACCAAATTGAGAGTGGTCTTCTTAAATGTTTCAGTATTGCATGTTTTACATTCGCGGTCTTGTAATGTGTTAAAGTATTAACAGCTTGTGATTTCAGGTGCATACATTCTGGTCTTGGCTTCTCAACTCGTATTTCAATGGTGTAGAAGCCGAAATTTAAGAAACTGGGAAGGTTATGGGCGTAGGCGCCAAATTCAGACTGGTCATATTAATTTTGCGCTGGTATGAGAGATCGTGAAGTATTTGATTTGTAGGGCCTGAGGCACTTCTAAATATTCAAATGACTGCTTCCATTATTGGTGCGTGAGACTGGTGACATAAATTTACTGTAAGCAGAGATTCATGCCTCTCACATAAAGACCGGCATGGAGCTGACTGACGGTCTGCATTCTGTCAATTCCTTCCGTTGGAGTAGTGGTTTCAAATTGTGCACGCAGTTTGTTTTGAAAACATGCATTCTCCGTATTTCTCTTATTGCAATTTACGATGTTTACAGGGCTAAGAATTTGCGTTTGCTTTAGTCTACTCGATGGTCATCACTAACTAAGTCTTTAATGTGTACTTCATTCCTGTTATTCGGGTGTTTATGCATTCTGTTACATTGTTCTACCATCACAATCAGTTTTGAGCTTATAGATCATGTTATGAAATTTTGCGGTTTTGGACTTGTCTCTGGCTTAGTTCCGTTTCAGTGATTGCTCTTGAATTTAGGCGAGGTTGCTTTTCATGATACCATAACAATAACAAACGAAGAGCTAGTGCTATTGTCTGCATTGCTAAGGTTTTGCTCTTATTAAAAGACTGGGTGGCTCATACCTTGTGGTCAAAGCACAACAAATTTGCACTGTTATCTTTTCATTAATAAGTAGCATAAAAACACTTCAACATTGTGCCTTTTTGCAAATCGTCGGTTGTTTAAGGCGCATGCCGCTTTACGATGCCTATGCATATCTTCGGTGTTATAGTTATTTCCCCTATATGTTTTACCTAACAAAGCAACAATTTGGCTTAGTGGTCATGCTCACCCTTCTGTAAGTTCATTGAATTGGGAAGCATACTTTGTTAATACTTTTTTGCGATCTTTGTAGCGTCGTGTACAATTGTTCCTAGGTAGCACAAAAGCTCAAGAGTGGAAGTTCTACTTTTGTGGTTTTTTTTTAAAATATGAGATCGAATCTAAAATAGCAATACGGCCGAAGGATTTGAAGAATTTTATAAGCTGGCTCGTTACTTCTAGATATGTACAGATTTCGATGAGTCCTTTCCTGATTTTTTACAGAAACAAAGGCCCAATTGGAGGAGTCGATGGCTGAAATCAAGATGTTGGCTCACAAAGTTCGAGCCAAGCTAAAACGTACGTTTTTAGCTTTTGATCTCTTTGTTCCTCTCCATAGAGATGGAAATGAACATTGAGTATGACGAGAACGCGGATAAATCGTCGGCAGATTTGAGGATTCGCAAAACGCAGGTAGATAGCATCTTCCGAAACCGTTTATTCTATGGTAGCCTTGAGCCTGCTTGAATTGATATTCATTGGTAACAGCAGTCAATAAAATAGCTGGATGACGAAGATAAACCTCCTCAGAGTAGTTGTTTGTAATACCTGTAGGTGGGATCTTTCCATGGTGATTTTCTTTCTTCAATCAATGCCAACTTAAATGTACAGAATTCGTGTCATTTTCGAAGTTTTTAGGCGATCAAATGAAACGACCAGATTTTTGGGTTTATTTATTCAGGGGTGCGGAGTCGTCAATGCAGATGATGTAGTGTAGTTGAGCGTAGATGTAGCTGGATTACGAACGTTTAAAAAGGCTAGGAGGGACGAATTACGATTGAGTTGATTTGGGTTGCGCGCTACCAGGACGAAAGCTCTATTTTCCCAGATTGAAGGAATTTGTACAAATGTGTCGCCATTAGCAGATGTAATTTGCGGCAATCCAGTTCCCACTTTTTATTCATTTGTCACAGTACCACTTTTTATCATCCGATTGTTGTATTTTTAATTCTAACCACGGATCTTTGGCATCCATGTCTCTTTTATTCTCACTTCCCAGTTTATTTAAAGTACGTCTGAATTCCAAAATCGAGGAGTTAGTATTTGAAATGTGATAAGCATTTATGGCATAAAAACGCTTGAAAGGTAGTAATATTGAAATAGATTTAAATGCAATAACTACTTATTTTTCATGCTCCATATTCGTAGGCTAATGAAATTACTATCGGCTCTAACTTCCATAAAGGGAATGGGCTTTGGAATTACACCAAACCTACTCTTCAGAAGGGCTTCCGGTATTTTAGCTTAGCTGCGCGAATTTAGCACACTTTGGTCATCTACGGAAGAGACAAATCACGTCAAATGCCGTTAACGTTGGAAGAACTTTTCATCTCCTAGTGACAAGGGTTTGGTAGGGTGTCGGGTCTTTTCAAAGCTGGAATGACACTATTTATCCTCATGACAACTTAAACAGCCTGACTTCATTTAGGATATTGTAGCACGATTTTCGTCCTTGTTGGTTTTCAAACGCGCAGACTCTGTGGTCTTGAGTAAAAAACTGGTACTTCACCATTATCCTTTAAAACAAATAATAGTCGTTTACTTCGACTTCTTTATTACAACAGCTCGGAGTTTGAAAGTCAAGGAGTCTGGTAAGACATATGTCTTAAATCCGGAGGAATTTAACTTCCTTTTAACTAAGGAACTGACCACTCCAAGCTCTGCGGTCCAAGCATTTAGAATTAATAACTGAACCAAAGATTTGTTTGGATCAGTTCTGCATTATGGTTCTCAGATGAATGCTAAATGCAAATGGATTGTCCGGCCATTCTGAGTGGTTTTTCAAGTTATGATGCCAAAGTAGCTTCTAGTTCCACAAGCCTAAAATTGTACCGTCCTGCTAGCGAAAACTGAGTTTAAAATAGCCTTAAGCTAGGTGGAGGGATTTTTTTATTTGAATAACTTAGCATTACATCAATAAGGTAAAATTGAGTCCAAAAGTTTATGAATAGACAATATTTTTTGCATCAATTCAGACTTTAAAATGTTACTTGGCGATCGTGTTGGCAGGTGAGTAAGTGGAGTTCCTTGGTCTTTTTAGTACTCCACAATTTCTCGAAATTTCATCGAGGTGATGACAGACTATAACAAGGCTCAAGTCGCCTTCCGAGACGCTTGCAAGAATCGGATCAAGCGCCAAATGGAGATAGGTGATTCTTTGCTCTTACACGTTTTGGCTTCCGCCTCTTTCTTTCTGAGTAAGGAATTTTTTGAACACAAAGTTAAATTGTCCAATTTCCAAGAAAAAGAATAGAATCAGACCGTCAGTGAAGGAGGCGCTACGGAATCGTTTCAAACCTGTAGTATGTAGGAACAGCACGATCAACACCGCATTAAGCTGCATGCTGACATAGATGGCAGATGTGGAACCATTGGAGATACGTTTGGAGCGCCTTAGAGCGATTGAATGCATGTGATGTGGTTTATTTGAAATGAACGCCAAAATATCCACCATTTGAAAGGATGGCGAATTTTTGACATTAATTATCGGTACATCCTCGACTATCGTTACGCTTGTTAATTGCAATAACGAAGGGTGAATTTCTTGGAGATGACTCTAAAGTTTATCGCGAAATTATGGGTTGGAGTTCATTTCGATTTTAAAACGGCGAAAAGCTTGCAATTGCAGTACTACTTCTCTTTTGCTGTTACAGGAACGTGTTTGGATGAAAGGCATTGCTTGAGTGTAAAATGAACGCTTAGTGATAATTTCAGGTGTCTTTTGTTTCCTGTATCACTGACCAATTCAATTTGGTGGACACTGACTGCCCAGATTTGCAATATCTAATCCAGCTGACGAAACGTGTATTAGCACATTTCGTCGCCATGACATGCGGTATTGGTGACAATTATTCTAAAGAGATCGACGTACAATTATAGTCTTATCTTCGCTTCGACTGTAATTTTATTTAACCTAGGATTTAATAGCTGGAAGAACGGCAGAACGCCTTTGTATTTCACTGATTTACCACCCTGAGTTCTCATTATGTTAATTTCTTTAAGCGAACGATTGTTTTTTTGTCCTTTTGGTTCCATCCTTTCGTAACTTCAGTATATTTACCTCACAAGTGATCTTGCCTTTAATGATCCATTTCATTCTTCCGTGCTTCCTAGTTCAGATAGTTATCACACGATTGCTTGGCATTTTCTTTCAGCCGAGCGGAAGATTACTAATGAGGAGCTGGAGGATATGCTGGAGTCTGGGAACCCCGCTATTTTCACCCAAGAGGTAGGATTTTTTTAGCCATAACCACTTCATCATTTTTGGCCGACGTTGACGGGAAGTTGGTGCTTAAGTACTAACCTAATATCCTTAATTTTACGAATGAGATATGCTTGCGTCAATTGTCGTGGCAATAAGGAAGGCTGCATTTAAGAAGACGTTGGCCGAAGATTCGTTGTTGAAAGCTCCATATATTGCCTGATAACCACAGTTAATATGCTGTCAAGTCGTTGTAGGTTAGTTCTTGGACGACATTTTGAATGCCATCTGGAGATGCTTGTTCTTTCGTTTTTTCCATCTCCTCCATTACCGGCAGGGAGTTAACGAGACTACGTTCGATTAGGTTTAGCCAATATTGGTTGCAAGAGAGTCTGTATATAGCCTTATTAGCAGGCACATAGGAAGACTTGCATATTAGGAACTTAACCCTATGATAACAGTGTGAAAGCTGAGACATAGACTTGTAGTCGCTTTCCTCTTTCGCTCATCAAATGTGAATGTGTGGAATTTGATACTTATCAGGTGAATCGCATCGAGGTAAAATTTTGATTGAGATGTCGCATTAGTAAGTTGAAGACTGTCCTGAAAGCGTATTTCATGCAAGATTGTCGCAAAAGCTGCTCGTAAATAATTTGGTAGATTTATTTGTCAACCATCATTGTGCTTAATAGTGATAATCTATTCCTTATGAGTGTTTGGAATTTGCTTGAGTTTGGACTCCTCTTCATCAATGGTCGCTGAGTAAAAGTGTATTCAACTCCACTTTCATTTCTTCTTCAGTCACCTGCAGATGTTGCTCTCACAGTAGTTTGCAAAATGCGGATTCATTCCTTTACCAATGGGCATGTCAAAATTAGCACTAGTTTGGCTTTCAATGGTTTTTCAGAAGAAGTTGTGGATTGTGAGTGTGGAAGCATTTTTTATTTATAAGCACAGCAAAGAGCCAGATCATCGATGAGGAACTTGGATCATGGGGAGTTGCAGAGCCCATGTACAATAAAGACTAAAGTTATACCAATGCAAATGTAGTCTTGTTTTTTCACCTAATGGATACTTCCAGTAACAGAATAGCGGTATCTTTTATTGACTGTTTCTGTCAGCGTCACGTTTGGTGTTGTTGGATTCTCTTGCAAAATGCAAATGAAACTTCAGGATACTACTCAGAGCTGCTTAGACTGTCATTGTCAGGAGTGGAGGCTCACAGGAAATCAGGACTCCCCTTGGTAACTTCTTTCTACTGCCTACTTTATAAGAACTCACAAGTATCCACTTGGTGGGAGCATTGAGTGACTAAGACACAAATAATTAGTGGGAGTTGAGGGAGGATTTGGGATATTCGTCCAAGCCACATTGCATAAAGTTAAACATTTTACTCGAATTTACTTGGGAAACTCTGGTGAATCATTGAGTTGCTTTCTTTTGCTGAACTCAAACAGGCACTTTGTTGACTTTTCCTTTTTCTCCTCGTAAAGATTATGACAGACACGCAGCAGGCAAAGCAATCCCTGGCAGACATTGAGGCACGCCACGAAGACATTATTAAGTTGGAGAAGAGCATCAAAGAGCTCCACGATATGTTCATGGACATGGCCATGCTTGTTGAGAGTCAGGTTAGTGTTCTTGTCTTTGTCTTTTTGAGGCGAGTTCAGAAAACTGTTTGAATTTCCGTTTAATGAGACCACATATTCAAGAGCATTCACTTTTTTCATGACAGATTAGTAGATCGTCACAAAACTAATACCTATCCTTCAGTGCAATTTTTAACTCCAGTTGCTTAGAGCACCAGATCCCTCATGACTCAGAGAACAACGCCACTTCTTGAATCCGTAAACTGTGCATGAAAATATGCATCTTGAGAACTGATTTCTACATGTTATCTGTGGCTTCCTCCAAGCATCGGTCCCTAAAATCCTTAAAATGGCTCCAATAATATAACAAATCCAAAGTCATGGCTGCTCTTCACATCATAGAAGGAAGCGTAGCATTTTACGAAAGTAAGAAATTTGTCTTCTGTACGTCCGAGTACTTCCAATGCTAGGACCTTGAAATTGAATCGTGAAGGTTGAAAGCAAGGCATGTACGCTTCTTGCGTACTTTTTTGGGTAACGAGAATTCGCTGTTAAGAGCTAATTCACTGGTCCTATTTATGTTCGATTGATGTCTGGTTGTCTAATAGGGGATGGGTGAGGTGGGTATTTTTTTAGATGTTAGAATTCCACCAACCTTCTTCGGATAAAGCTAAATGCACCGTCTTTGAGTAATCAGATAAGCAAATCTCTCTTGCCTAGACGTCAATTGTGCTTGAGAACTTTGCTTAACTGAACTTGTGGTTAATAAGGGATTTATTCAGACATATCTTTGAAGTGCCTCTCCTTCCTTTGGCAGTGCGCAGGTGTGTTGACACGCATAAAGTACCTAAGCACATTTTTGGAGCGAGACTTCCAATGGATTCGTACCTGTATTGTAATTTTTGCACTAAAAATTGCCCGATACCTCTGCTTTCTTCGAGATTTCAAAGGCTTGTGACCAATTGATTTTAGCGATTAATATTTTCTTTAATGTTAAGGATGGTAACCTGAAGTGTTAAATCACCCACTCAAATTCCGTACTTGTCTCTTGTCCTACCAATGCCATCTAGATTGCATAGACCACTTTTGTCCCTTACATCCATAATGAATTTGTAGCTCATTAGAATGCCATCGATTTCCATAACCATCTGTATGCGGATGCTTGTCTTTGCTTACTGGTCTCCGAATGTTGTGGCTTTCAGCGATGAATGTGTCAATGGTTACAGCAGCAACGACCCAAGTGAGCGCTGTCTACCCGTGTCTGGGGGGCATCATAGAGTACAGAGGAGCAACGTATCCTGCCAACAAGTCTACTCAAAGTTAAGGAGCTTTGCAGAATATGAGAAGGCAATGAAATTGTCCTAACACTCATCCCGTAAAGATCTGAACGTCTCACAGTAGCCTGCTCAAGTTACTACACCTAAAAGAGGGTGTTGTTTCAATCGGAAACTGGGCTATGCCCCTCTAAAAAATCTTTTAACTTATTTTTCCGTTATCAACTGCCCCAAACAATGCTTTTCCCACTACATCCCTTAAGCCTCCTGTTCTCGGACTTCGCCTTAGGTCTTAAGAGGTTCGCTTATCATACGCTATTCTATCTGCCCTTGAATAGCGCAGTTTAAAATGCACTGGCCCTCGGTGTGTGCCAGCTATTGAATGGTGGTTCGCCACGGTACTGGCCTACTGTTGGGATCAGTGTTCCTACGATATCGTCTTTTTTTACATTTGTGAAAAGGAGCGATTTCTGGATTTTAAGATTGCATCTCTAAATGTATTACTGTCTTATAGGGCGAGATGATCGATAGGATAGAGTTTAATGTGGACCAGGCAGTGGACTACATCGAGACGGCGAAAGCGGATACCAAGAAGGCGGTAAAGTATCAGAGCGCCGCACGAAAGGTAGCTCCCTCCGTCCTCGCCCCTCTTTATTGTTGTAACACTGTTGTGCCAAATACATTTTATGTTGTCAGCCCACTTGCCCCAAACCGGTGCCAACACAGACAGAGCAGTTGAATTTGCGGGAAAGTTATCTGCATGGGTAGGCGTGTTCCCCTCTATTCCCGCTTCTCTTGTTTCTGAAGTAGGGATTTTCATGCGCTCACGATTGTGCTGGGTCGAAGTCGACAAATGTCTTTGGCAAAATGGTGTCCAACGCGAGTTGGACAAATAGTTAACTTGGATGTCCATCTGCTTTAAAAAAAGGATAGGTCAGAAGCCGCACTCGAACATCGATAGCTGCGGTAGACCTTAGTTGAAATTGTTCTCTGAGAAGTGAGCTGGAGGTTGATTTTTTTACTAGACGTCTTTCATGGTTGTGATGGTTGTTTGTGCGGTTGAAATTTGTCACCAACTTTGTCGTCTTTGTAGTAGAGAAGTGCTTCACGAGTTTAAATGAAGCTGTCTCAGGTCATCGAAATATGCTCCGACAACATAGTCAACTCGAAACTGAATGCATCGTGTGACGGTCCTCAAGAAGTCAGTGGCGATGAATTATTCACGTCAGCCTAAAAGTTGGGGAAGAGTCTGAAGCGATAGTATGGAAGAATATTTACAGCTTTCGGATGGCGAAGGTGGTCTTGTACATCCTCGAGGTGCGGGCGCTTCTGATACCACTGACCTGTTTTATTCATCCGGGAGGGCAGAAATGGATTTCAAGTTAGGTTTGCTGTAATATTTGAGTGGATTTATCTGATGCCCACTTCATTCAAAGGTGCTGGGGATCTGGTGCTAAGTCATCTTCATCAGATGAATTGTGCAGTTTCTGATACTTCATTTCCTAACCTTTTATCTCTATAGCTTTCATCACTTATTAGTGATACTCAAAGGTTTGCTGTCACTGACCTTTTGGCATTAGTGCGCGTTCCTGTTGCTGCTAGTGTGATGCCAGAAATTCGTTCAAATAATAGTAGTGATTGAAAAGATGATTTAAATGGCAGTAGGCGTCATGAAAAAGAATGTTTGGTTAATTCCAAAACATGGTAGTTAATGTGCAATGCTTGGTCACCAACGCTAATCACCGTTTTGACACCTTTTTTGCCTTTCCCCACGAGCAAACGGTGGAAGTCCTGCAGGTGAATCGCTACTTCTTCCTTTCTGTCAAGCTTTTTTTAGTGTTCCAACGTATGTTGATGTGGGAACATTGATGCACCTGTTTGGTATCGTTGGTAGCGTGAAATATTGCTAAACTATATTACGAACTGCCAATGAGTTTAGGGGATGTAAGGGACGCTAATGCAGCAGATAAGACAAGGTGAATCGTTGGTTCTCTGTTGCTGCCGAATAGACACTAAAATCGGCTTACTTGTTTCCGAGCCTGAAAACTAGGCGGTTTGTGCTCACGTTTCATCAAGTTACATTTCTTAATTCCTTCATTAGCTTCTCCCAGTTGTTTGACACGCAAAATTGCTATTTTGTGTTTGCCGATTCCTCGTCACTTAATTCTTGCCATGACAAATGTAGGCTGGCATTATTTGAATGTTGGTTCTAACTGCTTAAAAACTTTCACTTAGTGGTTGACTCGAATCATGCAAACTATTAAGGACGGTTTGGAAAGGTAGCGACTACTTTGGAGCCCAAAAATGAAAGTGCTTTGTATTCTCTCTCTAGCAAACTATGCAGCGAGGAGGTTATCACTTTCTAGCTTTTCACTAGCGTCAAGTGGTGGTGGGAAAAGATGCAACTGATTGTTACAGCATAGGAGGAGATTTGCCGATGCACAAGTTTTTCATGTATGAGGAAGTAATTGACGACAGTCCCTCCTTCTCCTCTCTTGCTCGCGGGCACGAAAATTGGACAAAATTGCAGCCGCTTGAAAGGGCTTTGCAGTCGATCCAGTCAAGTAGCACACTGAATATAATATCGGTTGAGGCAATTTTTCCACAAGTCCCCCTTAGCATGCCTTATTAGTGGGTCTGACTACAGGAGGGCGGACGAAATGTCGGAAAGGAAGTCGGTTTTCGTCTATGCAGTGTTTGTAGCATTGGATATTCGTGGTTCCGATTGGCCGAGACTTCGGAGGGTGGTGCATGCTGGGTCTTGTCAACTTCTCATTTTGAAAGTAACTTAGCACTCATAGTGGAGAACTTTGTGCTTCCAGAGTTGGCACTAATTTGCATACCTTGAAGAAATTGGTCAGGAAATAATTAGGTTGCGACTTTCTAGTACCTTCCAAAGCGTGTTCAAAGGATGTGGTGGTCTGAACTGTTGGAACGATTTATTGTGCTAGTGCAATGTTCACGACGCATTTCGATGGGTGCTGCAAGGGAGAGGCGACAAAATCTGCGACTTCCCCCTCAGCATGTGGATGTCACAGGATGCCCCTTAGTCATGCCAGTATGGAAGCAGAGAACGGACTTTTGGACAAAGTATAAAAGTTAAGCAAAAGGAATAACATGATTCTATTGCAGGTTTTTCTACACTACGCGATTGTAAACACTAGTCTGCTCATTTTGCTCTAGACAAGTACCACAATGCACTGCTGCCAATAGTCACCCGAGGTTCTAATGCTGCGACAACATTCACGAGTCGCATGCAGTTTGTTTCATTCATTCCCATTGCTCATTCTCTAAATTAGTAGACCGAAGTTGCTCAACGCTTTAGAGGTGCAAACACTGTCGAAACGGAGGTTCATTTGTGTCCAGTAACCTTTTGACCGAGACAGCATAGTAAGATCTGTTAAATTATGGTAAGAATGGATATAAAACAAGTCTTCTCCATCAGATCCACAAGCATGGCCTGCGATCATTATTGGCGGCGTCGTAGCTGGCGTTGAATTACATGGAAATGCGTGTCAACAATTCAGCTGCTCTAATTGTCGTCTGCGCAAGGCATCTAGTGACACTTTTTCGGTTCTCTGTTAGATGCTAATATTTAATTACCAATTGAAGCAAATGAAACGATTTAATTGCTTGTCAATTTATAGGGGAGAGAGCATGTAGGGAACGCCAATTCCAAAAATGATAAAAGTAGACTTGAGTTTATAGTTAAATTAACTGAAAACTGATTATCCTTTGTTTGTGTGCATGCAAATGTGTGGCAGTTGAACACGTAGTGAGGGCATTTGGGACTTGAGGGTCTGCAAACTCGACTAGATCAACTCCTTACACTTTAACTCACTTCGTCTATTTCAAAATCTCACCTGTAGAGTGAGCCAAGGTGGTGTGCGACTCTCTCGCACTGTATCACAGAATGGGTGGCCTTCTTGCCCCTTACAATGCCGCCATTAGATGCGACCGCTTTAGCGGAGACGCCTTTCCCTTCTACATACGACTGTGTGTGGATGTGAGGAGCCACGATTAGTTACCTGTTTACAACGTTGGAGGTCTGCTATTTTTGGTCTGGACAGAAGGACAAATCAGATTAAGGCAAGGTTGGATGCTCAGAGCAGTTGTCTCTCCACCTTTCATCGGTAGTAGTCGTTTATTTCTTTTATTTTTAAAATGCAATTTTGTGTATAGCGCACATTCTTTTGCTCACGCATTTTGCTTCGGAGGATATAAAATGCGACTGATGGGCTGTACCTCCGTTTAAAGGTGATGCTCGTAATCCACCAACTCTAACCTACGACTTTGCACTAATACGCATCAACAGACAGTTCAAGTGACCGCCCCTGTAGGACAGAATTATGTGTGCCTGAATGGCGAGAAGTCAGCCATTTGAAACCACTTTATTCTCAAGATGAAGACAACTTCCAGCTCGAACGCTTTCGACAGAACTAACCATAAGTCCTCAAAAAGGATTTGCTAATCTGTGGCGGTAAGATTACTTTCGTGATCTGACAGCTCCAATGTTTTGTGGAAAATTTGATTTGCAACGGTCAAACGCAGCTCTTCATAGCAAGTAGCCATTTTCATTTGAACCATCTTGCCTAGTTGCTGGCAATTCGGTCAAAGAGGAGAGACTGGAGGAAGGGCAGTCATTCTTTTTTGAGTGTTCGCGCTCACATGCCGTTTTGCCTTTGAACTACTTGCCTCTGAGAAAGTGTCGTCCCCCATTTACAAAGCTCTAATCATATTTGATTCGCTTCCTTAAGAGTTTCGGTTTTAGCAATGCTCCATAAGTGGAATCCGATTGCGTTGTTTTTTAATGACATGCAGTAGAGAGAGTTCTTTAAGATCCGCTATCAAAGCTTATGGACTTTCCGATTTTACTGAGCAATCGTCAAAATGCTTGACATGATAAGCCATTTGATATACTGCTTGGACTTGCACGTGCCTTCGGAGGTGCTGAATGCCCGGGGCTCACCAATGACAGTGCGACTCGAAACTCGACGCATTTTAGTCAGATTTAAAGCTCATAGGTCTAACGCAACTCATTTGTAAAAAATTTGGCCTTACGGGAGTTCGGGAAG